CAAACCTAGCCCAAGTAGAGACCTCAATTTTTTTGAGCCATTTCCAAGCATCCTCAAACTATGCTTTCAGCTTTGCCATGCCTAGTTCATGCCCATGTTTAGTGTAGGAGTAGCTAGCCTTGTCAATACACTTCTTTAGTTCCTGGCCTCTAAATCCAGCAGATTGAAAATTTGCATATATGTGCCTAAGGCAATACCTTTGAGGTGACTCAGGGAATACCTCATTTATTGCCTTAAGCAAGCCCTGCACATTCACAAATTATTAATATAATTGAAAAAAGTAATAACATAAATTGCTCAATGAAATTCTTCCCAACCTTTTGCCTATCAGACATGATAGTGTATGTTCCAAATTTGTTGCCACTGCCAATGCAACATCTCAATTGAGTTAAAAACCAATTCCAACTTTCACCATCTTCCTTGTCAACCACACTAAAAGCTATAGGATAAATATTATTGTTTCCATCCCTTCCTGTGGCTGCAAGAATTTGTTGTCCAGTGGTTAACTTGATGAAGCATCCATCAAGACCTATAAATGGTCTGCAGCCATTAAGGAAACCTTCCTTTGAAGCTGCTAAACAATAGAACATATACTTGAATCTAGGAGTAGGTGTTGGGTTCTCTAGATCTTCAAATGTTGTTACTATACACCTGCTACCTGGGTTTGTGTCAAGAACTGCTTGAAGATAATCCCTGAGCCTCAAGTACTGCTTCTTGTGGTCACCTTGAACTACATCAACAGCCTTCCTCCTTGCCCTATATGCCACACTTCTTGATACATCCACTGAAAACTTAGTCTTGGTCTTCTTAATTAATGCATCCACAGGAGATCTAATGTCTTCTCTCAATGCTGCCTCCACTGACCTTGACATCCACTTAGTAGTAACCTTCGTGGACTCTGCACATGCTCCACAAGTGTGCAATATATCACACTTCTTGATGCAGAATGTTTTTTCATGAGCTAACTTAGAGGCACATATATAAAAATCACATCCCTGGGTGGCTCTCTCTGAGCACCAAACAATAATCCTATCTGGGGCATTTTTGTGGTATTGAAAATTTCACAAAGTCCTAATGTGAAAATCCCTAAGTGCATCTCTGAACTCATACACAGTGGTGAAGCACAAGCCCTTACAAAACTGTTCTGCTGGTCCTTGAAGTTTGTGATCATACCATATCCTGTCTTTCAACTTCTTATTCCTTCTCTTCCTACCACTTGGTAGTTTATAGGATCCTTCAGGCTCATCTTCTTCATCACTGATGCCATAGTCACCAGGGAAACATTTTTCATCTGCTTCAGGGAACCAATCTGCTTTCTCCATTTTCTCAATCTCATGGTGGGATCTACTAGTTGGACCAGGTTTTCTCACTACCTTCAGTTTCTGTACCACTGCTGTATCTTGTTTTGCAGCTTCATCTTAAGAGGAATACTCTGACTGAAAATCCACATTGTTCCCATCTGAACTTGAATTTGCAGCTTCATCATCAGAAACAAATTCAGACACATCAGTATCACCTTCAAAATGGTTAAGGTCAGCCTCTCTCTGCACCATGCTTTTCTTCAGCTCTTCCTTTCTGTCCATGCTTATATCCACCACCTTAGTGCAACTTTGTTGAGTGTTAATGCAATGTTCAGCAAAATAACTATCTCTGTTCTCATCTGCATTACATTCCTCAAGAGCTCCCACTACTCTTATGTTCAGAAACTTTTCATTATGAGAGTGTGCCAACATCTGCTGCACATCATCTTCACAACATATTTTATCTAAACCTTCTAATCCTTTCTCCTCATCAAATACATAGTACATATAATCATCAGCCACAAAGCCCTCACTCCCAATAAGAGAAAGCATTGTCAAATATGATATGTCTGACTGGTATAAATTTTGAACCACAGATTCTCTGGCATTGAAATAGAACCAAATTGACCACTTTGGGTCATCAATTCTAAAAATTATAAAATGAAATACCTTTATTAACTGAATACAGGATTACTGAACCTAAGTAGGCACAATATTGAGTTTCTGTCAAACTGCTTTTTCAGTTTCTTACACAACAAAGTATGCACAATACTAACAATTTCCAAGATGACCATAACTGAATCTAACCATGCAAAAAACTAGCCTAAATTACCGATTCTCTGAATCTCTGAATCTCACAACCATGCAAAAAACTAGGCCGTACCTGCCGCCACCAGCAGAACGAGGAAGCTTCCGCCGACCTTGAGCTCTGCTTCTTGTCGTCGACGGTGGTCGCGCCAGCGCCGACCAATCCAACCTCTGTTGCGCGCCGGCAGCGGAAGGATTAGATTCGGACTGAGAAGGCTGCTGTGCCGCGCTGCCGCCCGGAGGTATGCCTGAATCGCCGACGGAGTTTGCATCCACAGCCGCCATGGCTGCCGACGGCTAGGGCTAGGAGCTCGGGGGAGAGTGAGAGAGCTGGTGGGGACGAGCGGCCCGGTTGGCCAGGTTATGACCTGGTCCCGACCAGGTGCGGCCGACGAGCGGCTCTAACGGCCCCGCACGCGCGCCGTTAGCCGTTAGGCGGGCCGCCAACCTGGCACGTGGGCCACTCACGTCAGAATCGCGGTTAAAACGGTCTAAACCACCATTCACTCAACCTGGTAGTTTTTAGTCACGTTTTTACGTTTTTTTGGTAGTTTTCGGTCACTTTTAAAAAAATGGTAGTTTTGTGAGACGCGAACCCTTAAAGTGGTAGTTTTTTGTCAATCACTCAAGTACAGTAGATACTCTAGTTCTTCATATTTTGCTTAATTAGATCAGTAAGCGTGGTAAGAATCGAGCCAGAACAGAAACGCCAGCGATTTCTTTTGCAATTAGCCGCCTGAAGTCCGTATCCTTGGCAGAATTGGTCCACTCCAATCTCTGTTCTCCCAGGAACAGAGAGCCCGAACAGAGGCTTCAGAGATTCGTGTGATGGGGAACGTGATTTGATGGATTCTTGTCATTTATTCCGCAGCGGTGTAGGTACCACGACTATTTTTTGAGCTTGCTTATGTGTGGCCACTTGCTGAATCTTGTGGGGAAGGGAAGGGGATGGATGTGTGTGGGCGTGGTCTTTCTTGTGCCCTGGGGTCTGTTGCTTTTCCTCCTTCGTGCAGGAGGTGGCCTCCCTGATGAATCCCTGCCTGCATTTATGATTCTTCATGGTATTTTTTGTTTGTGTCATCTGATTTGATGTAAAGCTGCATTCCTAGCATGCAGCATTACAAGACTTCTTATCATATACGAAAACAGTGGGGTGACTTGTGAATTTTGTGATGGATGGATGTTTCATGGGCATCCTGTGTCCGACTCACCTGCTCTTCTTCGGCTTTAGGGAGGGGTTCCCGTAACTGCTGCTGCTGTTACTGCTTTCTCCTTTGGGTTTTCTGGGTTTGTTATGATAGTGTGTTGTTCCTTTTTGGAGACTACCGTAACACATCACAACTGGCATTATCCCGAGTCTCTTGGCTAGATGGTAGGGAGAATGCTTGTATGTCGAGCTTCTTCAGTTGTACTGTGTGATGTTGACTGAACCAGAATGGGCTTGCTAGCTTATTACTCATTCTTATACCTTGAGCTAAGAATTACCTACTTCAAGCTGACTGCTGTTTCTTCTTTTTCTTCAGGAGTTCAGGGTGTACTTCTGAGTGGAGCGTGTTACTTCTGATTGAGTTGAGTTTCGTCCGCTGTATTACTGCTGTAACTTCACAGCAGCAAAGAAACAGCGTCATGGTTGAGAAGGTATCCAGTTTAAGTCCCTGTTTGAGCAGTTTGCTTCTAGAACTTTTGATTGATCATTTACATGCAAGTATGATTAAACTTTATCAGGCTCTGTAATGACAAATTAACTTGTTACAGGGATATGTACTGAGTAATGACTATGCTTCAGTTCTTGGTCATATGTATTCTGCTTAGAAGGCTATCACTCGCAAGGTAAACATAGAGTTACTGTTTCTATCGTGTGCAAAATACATCCAGCTCCTATACTGTCATTCATTCCCTATGTGTGTTGACTGGCAAACTTTCTAGAGTCTCCGTATCTTTAAGTTTGGTCCTTATATTTAAAAGTTCTAAAATCAGAGAACTACAGAGATAAGCAAAAAGAAACTCCCCCAATAGGGATGATTGATAGTCATTACTGGTTCATCCTCATGCTTTGTTGGAAGCACAGACAAGTTTTGAACATCTCTATTAATCAATCTTCGGATCTGTTGTACAGCATAAACAAGCCATTAGACTTGAAGCCTTGAACATCTAGTTACAATCTAATGTGAAAGATCTGTTTGTCACCAAACTGAATTTGCCCATTTGTGGAGTTAAAGTAGTGCATTGTAGGTTTGGGATATACTCCGTCCCAAAATAAGTGTCTCAACTTTAGTACAAAGTTGAGACATTTATTTTGGGACGGAGGGAGTAGCATTTTTGTTCAAATGCCTTTAAGGAATTAGATGTCAAATCATTATTTTAAGCCCTTAATTGTGAGTAAAGTTAAACACGGTTAGCTGGCTTGAGTAAGTGTTGAGTCTTTTTTTGTTTATTCTATCTATATGAAATCAAATAGAGTTTCATATTTTCTTATTTCTGCTGTAATATGGGCCGATTATAAACTGATATAGATGTCGTTCTTGATCAAACTCATGCTGCTGTGTAGTGTCTTTTCTTTTTAACTATGTTAAAAAAGAAGTATTCATTGTACTTCTGGCCTTAGCATTCATTTTGGGGGTTTTACTATTTATTCTCAGATGTTATGGCTTTTGTTTATGACTTTTTATTTACTGTCACGCTAAGCAAGGTTGCTGTTTGTTCCTACAGCTTCCTTTGATCTCATTACTTAGAATCACCACCTCCTCTTCTGTATCCCGACGCAGGGTTGGCCGTGGGTGTCTAATACAAGGTAGTATGCTCCCTGGACTTCCTCACTTCTGTTCTTTTTGTTTGCATTGTACCAAACTGTAAACTGTACTTAAAAAATCCTTTTCTTTTTCTCATTGCTAGATGGCTGCTCCGCCAAATGCATTTTCGAGCGAGTTACAGAAGTGGATCTACAACCGTTCTGTAGGCTCTATATTTTTCATCACTATCGGACCAAAAGCATCTGCAATTAATGCACTTATAGCTCTTATGAACAAAGTAGAGACTGTTCCTGCAGAAAAAAGAGCTGCGGAGTTAGACCTCCGAGGACAAAATTGCACAGGCGTTGTAGTGGAGGAGGCAGATGATCATCTTAAGATCTTAACATGTGCCCATCTTATGCAACACGTATTCAAGAGTTCAGAACCCCTTTCGCTTAAAGATGCTTGTTCGCTTTTTTCTGTAAGAGTGTTGTGTGATCATTACGAGCAGAGCTTCCGCGGGCAAAGCAGGATAAGAGCAAGAGTTTATGCACCAGCTTCCATGATTGGCATCGATTGCGAGAAAGACCTGCTTCTTCTTCATGTATACCGACCAGATATTAAGAATTTGGGCAGAAGATGTACCAACAGTCATCAGGGCTTGATTCTTAGTCCAACTCCTCCAGAAGCTTTCGACAAGTGCGCAATGATTTCATGGCCTCCTGGCCTACCTCGAACAGCTGTTGAAGGATCAATTTCTCACCCTTCAAGAACAGTCCGTGACTTGGAACTTGTGAACACTGTTGGATACACAATGAACCTCACTCAAGTAGTAATAGCAAGTGAAAAAGGAAGCTCAGGTGCTCCGTTGTTAGATGGTAATGGGAGAATAATTGGATTGTTGCATGGCGGTTTTGGAGGGCAGTTTACATACTTTATCTCCCATGCTGATATCGGATGTTTTCTGAGGCGACATCACGTGGTACATGGTATGTTATCACATATGTTTTTTTACTTGTTTGTGTTGTTACTATTTGTAAATATGCCTTACGAAAGCATAAATAACATGCAGGGATATGAGGTGTTATTTGATCATCCTACAGCCCTTGTTCCCTCCCGATCTCCTGTTGTTATCCCATCCACAATTGCTGCTCGAACTGCTGTTAAACAACAGTCAGGTTCATTAGTGCTGCTCTGTTACCGGTAAGGAACCAACCATAGCATGATGTTGCTAGAGTTTGTTTGTTCTTGATGTTAATATCTGGTGTGGAACAGTAAGAATGGATTGATTGTATGGTTTTCTGCTTCAGATTACTTTCTGTTATTGTAGTTGTGAAAACTGATAGTAATTCAAAATTTGCCTCAAAATGCCATTCAGAATACTGTGATTTATTCAGCGCAAAATGCCATTCATAATTTACTTCTGGTCCGGGGAAGGGGAACCTTGGCGCAGTGATAAAGCTGCTGCCTTGTGACCATGAGGTCACGGGTTCAAATCCTGAAAACAGCCTCTTACAGAAATGTAGGGAAAGGCTGCGTACAATAGACCCAAAGTGGTCAGACCCTTCCCCGGACCCTGCGCAAGCGGGAGCTACATGCACCGGGCTGCCCTTTTTTTTTACTTCCTGTCTATGCAAGCCTCAAAATGTGATATGGAATACCATAGTTTACTCTCTTGTCCCCTCACCTTAGAGTTTAGTTTCCTTTTCGTGGTCTGTGCTAGTAAATGGTGATTCCTATCCTGGTTAAAGTAATACGGAGTGCTCTGTGATCAGTTATTCTAACTAGATGCTGGGGCGCGTCCAGTTGTTTTTATGACCTAAGTTGATCTGTGTAAATAATAAATCTATGAACAGCAAAATCAGCTGCAACCACTTGTAAAATATAACGGGAGTATGGGATACAGCCAGAGTTATTCCTTTCCTTCTTTTAAGCTTCCTCCTGACCAGAGCAGCACAGAAACCCAACACAACATACAAGTGGCCCTAGATATGACCAAATTGCCTACGCGTGGTGACATAGCTCAGCGTACGCAACGTGGTGCCCAGTAGGTGCACAATCAACACCACTTGGACAGCCCAGTTAACGCCCTTGTTCGGTCCTTAATTGTTTTAATTTGCTCTTTTTGTACGTTGTGAGTTGGTGGACTTGTGAAGAACAATTTACAAGAATGCGGTAACCGTCTGAAGTATTGTACTGTACATCCTAAGGATGAGAATTTTTTGAGGTCTACCAGCTGAAAACAATCTGTGAACATACACTATGTGATGTTGCTCTCTGGTCTAAAATGTAAACTCAGTACTGCCTCTCTGTTCCCAGCAAACTTGGGCATCAATGTTATTTCGCTTCAGATCTGATTTCCTGCAGAGTGCAGTTCTTTTTGCTGATTTTCATCCGAATAACATATGTGTTGGTACTGACTTGCTTCATGGAATGAACTAGTATCTTCATAAGATTGTTGAGTTCGTTCGAAGATTGTTGCACACAAATTAGTGCCAGCAGCAGGGAGCTGATGCTGAATACTAAGTGTGCTGTTCAAGCTGATCCGCCACGTAGGCCATGTTCAACAAGAATGTATACCTGCAGCTTTCTGAACCATATTTTTTGGCAGAACACGTACATTGTTGTACGGAGTATCTTGAAAAACTGCAACCGCTGAGTGAGGCGTACTGGAGCTTGGGCTTCAGAGCTGTGTTTCCTTTATTTTATTTTTTCAAAATTCCCGTTTTGAAGTGTCAAAATATAAAATCCATATGTATATATGGATGTATTCTATGTGTGCATAGATTTATTTTCATGATGGAATGATTTAAGATGTGAGCTAAAAATAATTGTGTGGATTTTAGTACTCTATAAACAGTGATGTGCTGAAGTGACACGAATTTAATTTTTTAGCTTACATCTTAAATAATTTCATCTTAAAAATTATACACATGTAGAATACTTCCTCTGTTCCCAAATATAAGTCTTTTTAAACATTTCAAATGGAATACAACATACGGATGTATGTAGAATATTTTAGAGTGTAGATTCACCCATTTTGCTCCGTATGTAGTCACTTGTTGGAATCTCTAGAAAGACTTGTACTATGTATTTGGGAACGGAGGGAGTACATTAGTATGTTGGTGCAACTGTCTTTGGGATTTTTAAAAAATAAAAAAATATCTTTTGTTTTTTTCTTCCAGAAAACAAGTTCTATGGAGCCAGAGCTCCAAACAAACTTTTCAGCAATAGTGTCTTATACTCGCTCCGTTTCAAATTACTCGTTGCAGAAATGAATGTATCTAGAACTAAAATATATCTAGATACATCCATACATGCGACAAGTAATTTGAAACGGAAGGAGTATTAGGGAAGCGCTAGGGATAGGAAGTGTTTCCCTTACCTACAAGGCTACAATATCAGCAAGATGGTGAGAACAGACGAGGGGCTTCACAATGAGCGTAGACGTGCAGATGTATTCACATGCAAGGAGGGACGTTGCTGCATGGCATTCGGCTGTGCACCATAGTTTAATGATGGATTAGTCTAAGGCGTCGGATCATACAGGATATGGGTGGCGGCCAGTATAGCATCTCTGATGGAAATAATTACACAGTCGACAGTATATCTTTGTACATAGGCTGTTGAAGACTAGCCAGATTTGTTTGTACTCCCTCCGTTCCTAAATACTCCCTCCGTTCTTAAATATTTGTCTTTCTAAAGATTTCAACAAATGACTACATATGGAGCAAAATGAGTGAATCCAACTCTAAAATATGTTTATATACATCTGTATGTGATAGTCCATTTGGAATCTCTAAAAAGACAAATATTTAGGAACGGAGGGAGTATAAGTCTTTCTAGAGATTCTAACAAATGACTACATGCGGAGTAAAATGAGTGAATCTACACTTTAAAATATGTCTACATACATCCGTATGTTGTTGTCCATTTAAAATGTCTAAAAAGACTTACATTTAGGAACGGAGGGAGTAGATGTGAGTGATGTATGCAGCAAAGGATAATTTCATCCAAATGTATCACAATTATATTTATTAATCCAAAATGGAATTAATTATAGTGCACATAAATCACTCTTCTTTTTTGTTTAAACATGTTATGGTCAGAACATCATGGATGATATTTTCGTCTTGACTCCAAAAGTCCAAACCACATTTATCGCAATCATCTTTAATAATCCAAAATAACTAGTATTATGTTACACATAAATCATTTTCTTTACACTGTCAAAACACGACACGCGCAGGCAACGGAGGAGGAACGCACATGTACCACTTCTCCTCTCAAGTTTCAATAGCATATGAAAGAGAAACCCTTATAAAGTTGTCTCAACTCTTCTCCATAGCTGGTATTGTATTAAATTTGCAACCGTGTCATGACACCTAGGCCCATATATAATTCAACAAAGGACACCGACCCCGCAAGTGGTGAAGGTAAGTGGGAAAATAGCAGAAAGGGGAGTAAGGGGATGAGATGCTGAGCATAAAGTGGAAGAAACATCTGGGCGGCGGCATGCGTAACATGCTCTAGAACCAATAGTGCATGCACGTTCATTAGATTTTGGAAAAACAATACTGGTAGATTTAGACCTGGTTGAAAACTAACCACATTTTGAACAGTTTGATCTGGTAAATATGAAATATGAATCTGCCCTGCTATAGGAAATAATATAATTTGAAGAACATTGTTGTCTCCCAATCTCATTTGAATTCAGTTTGCAAGGGAAAAAATTCGAGACAGATGTAGGCACAAGTGATGCCAACGACTTGACCAACCGGGGAGGTGGACACTGTATCGAGCTGAAAAACCTTGTTCCTGGCAGGTTGGGACGAGAGTACGTCAATGGTGTATCATGTTTTTATGCCTGCAATTGCGTGACTTTCAGGACCCCCCTGCACGTACCATTTTTCCCAAGTAGACCATGCATGTAATATAACTACTGAATATTTTAGGACGCCGACAAGTCCTGAACATTGGGGATTCAGCTGTGGCAAATTGAACGTTTTTCGTGACAATTTATATACGTTAGGGATGACAAGTTTAGTTGGTAAGCATGGCAATTTCACCCTCGGTTTGTTTTTTGCCAAGTACTCCCTCCGTAAACTAATATAAGAACTTTTAGATTACTACTTTACTGATCTAAACGCTCTTATATTAGTTTACAAAGGGAGTAATTGCCATGTTCTCAACTAAACTTGTCATCCTCACGTCAGCTAAAGTTGCCAAAGAAAACGTTTGATTTGCCATGAGCAAATCCCAAACATTCCGGATTTATCATTTCCAAAATTTGAAGGGCACAAAGCTGGGAAATCTAGCCGCTATGCCCCTGAAACGTGACAAACATGATTGGCAATATTTCTCATTGCTTGGAAACAAAATGTTCCTGTAAATGTTTACATAAGCTAAATTTGAGTTAAGTGTGGCCTGCTATAGAGTTTTCAGTTAAATGCACCAAACTACTATCAGAGAGGGTTCCCGGAAGTTATGACATTTGCACCTTTTTTTCCTTACGGATAAACAGAGAGCTTTATCACTCATTTGGCAAGTACAGTCAGCCGTTTGGCCTCTGCTCTAGTTCAGCTGGAGAGGACCATGTATCCAGTTCATCACTTCAGAAATGTGCATAGTCATGAGAGCTAGTTCCCGTTTTCATGCAAAGGAGGAACATTGGAGGCCACTTGCCTACACCAGTTCTCCCATACAAGTGTAGATATGAAATACATTTAGCAGAAACTTGCATGTTTCATTCACCAGGACCATGTCTGCCCTCAACTCCCTGACACCACATTTAGCAGTCACCCTATTGATTGTGATGTCTTCCTGGACTCGCTCGCTTGCTCAAGTCACACGGATCAAGTCTTTTCTCCAAAAGGATAGTAACCTGTGTAAGACATGTGTTAGACAAAATGTTTTGCATGCTTTTACTCACCAAAATAGTGATAATTTAAACACCTATGACATCGCTTTTTCTCACTTGACACATTTGCCATTAGTTCTCACCGTGCTCTGCTTTTGCCATTGCACACCTTCACGGCCAGACCCGGCTAAGTGCTTTTCTCTTCCAAAAGTACCCTCTC